CAGGAGTGCCGAAAAATAGCAACGGTAAAAGCAAAAGTATACATGATGTTGAGAGCCAAAAAAACATTTGGAACGACCTTATTACCGACCCGGCAAGAAAATAAAATTGAGAAGCAAGGAGTAAGAATACAATAAAATGGATTCTGTTGAAGAATTAAGGACTTACTTTTGAAAAGGGCGCACAAACTGTGGTTCAAATTCGTCCTCATCCGTAATGACTAGAAGAAGATCGACGGTGAGCTGATTCTGTTCACTTGATCGCCCCCAGTCCTGTGAACTCGATTGGCTCCGAGATGAAGATATCCTATTAAGGGGTTGAGTGTCATTGGAATTTCTCGTCTGTTCACTCGTTGATGAATCTAAAGAACAGGTCACCGTGATTGTAAGACTCGCCTTAAGGCAAATCACGAAGGCGTCTGCTTGTTTGGCACTATGCCAAATGGAGACAGGGGCTGAATATGACGGGAATTGGTCGAGCCCATATTGGTTAGACCTGTTTGCAGTAGAAGGTGGTGAACTGAGAAGTGACGAACATGTGGATGACTGGCTCCACTCTTTGGTGTTTCGGTCTTGTAACATGGTCTCCAGGTCTATAGGCTTTGGTGATAGAACGACTACCTGATGTCGAGGTGTCCAACTTTGGGCTCGAATCGACAAGTACGTGGAAGACTCAGAGGCCTCCAATGAAAGGCTAATCAGCAAACAAACAAGAATTGTAAGTTACCTACTGAGCAATGCCGAATAAAGATTGATGAAGGAGGAACAATTAAAGTGCAAAGTTGAGTGCCAGCAATAAGATTTTCCTTTTTGGCGCTAATAAATAGTGATATGCTTTAGCTTTTTCCTCAATAGAGGAATCAGAAAGCCTCAATAAGAAACAGAGGAAAGAAGAAGATAATTAACAGCTTCGGAATATAATTATATCGGAGATTGGCTTGGCCACTATTGCAGGCAGGCAGGAAAGCTAGCTTTATTTAATCTCAAGTCATAACAATATGAATAACCATTCTCGGTGGGAAATTGCCGGGCGCCTGATTTGAAGGCAGGAGATGCAGTGTGTTAAGTCAAGGTAACTACCGTCAATGAAGAGGATTTCATTTGCCAAGTTGATGAGTTTTGGTTGGATATCGAGCATTCTCTTTCCCAGTAAATGTTTTGGCAGGTCAGATGAGTAATCCTCCAGTCCGGGATCCGAAAGCTTAGGAGTACATGATTGCTTTGTCGTTACACACAGCACGAGGGATGCCCTTCAAGATAGTATTTTAACTATTATAAAAGGGCTAAAATCAGATCTAATAAACAAGAGTAGGTACTCACCAAATGAGAGATGCAATATATTTGTCTCCGTTATAATCTGCGACCGGTATTTGACATATTAGAAAATCTCTCGGTTTACAAAAACCTTGGGCGCTATTCAATATTATTTAGATATAAGAGGTCTCGAAAATACCAGATCTTAAATAAGAGCTGGCTTCACACAAAGTCGCATAAGGTGATGTAGGAATGATAGTTGAATTTTCCC